GGGTAAATTTATCACGGATGTACCGGTTTGAGGTTTTTGGCAATCAAACAATTAGTTCGGGGTAAATTTGTTACAGATGTACAAGTTTGGGGTTTTTCGTGATATTAAGCCCAAAAAATATTAAGCTCAATCAAATGTATGGCAATATAAATTGAATGCTAATGAGAGCCAAAATCACAGTCGTGCAAAAATGAAAATTTGAGAAAGAAAATTATAACCTTTATTATGTTTAGATTGTCAAAGTAATTTGCATATGCCGAGTTGGTTTTTAAGTTTGACTATTTTTCATTGTGACTTTGGTTATTAAAGTTTTAGTGAGGCCAGTTTTGTACAGAAAATTTAACGGGGTCATATTAACCTGTGAGGAGAACAAATCTTGTGCTTTTTTTTTTTAAATGATCACTTGTATCGTTTAAAATAATTAGTTAATTTATCGACAATAATTTATTTTTTAAACGTTTTTATGGATAACGAAAATATTTTCCATTCATTCATTTTTATAAGCGATACAAATGCTCATTTAAAAAAAAATTCAAAATTATTCATTTTCCGTAAAACAAACCAAACCTAACCGGGGCAAGCTTCTAATGAAGGGGTGCCGCCATTAGCAGCATCTATAAAAAATATTCTCGATTAGCTTTTCGCATCTAATTTCAGTCGAAGATTTGTTCCCTATCTAAAGGATTGTCTGAAGAAGCACGAGATAAGCAGGTAAATTAAAAATCTTGCTTGTGATTTGCAAATATAGTAACAATAGTAAGTTTCGACTAACTTATAGCCTCTTTTTGCCGTACAAATAACCTCTTCAAATTCTGGAATGGAAATCGATAGTTTCAAGAAATAAAAAGCAATCCCAAACTAATCTAAAGAAGCACAAGCCTTGCAGAGTATACATAAACGTGCCCAGTGTATATACACAAGCACCTTCTACATTACCCCCCCTGCTAGGTCGTTCACGAGATCGAGAGCTTGTCGAATACAGCGCCGGCAGGCCGCCTGCTTGCTTCCCACGATTTCCGATCACCAAAATGAGGCCTTCGTCAGCAGCCTCTCTTCTTCTCTTGTTCCTCGTCGTTCTGAGGTACTTGGACAGCCATGTTTATTTATGCACGCATCAAGTGACCCGAGACCTTATTTGAATGATTCGCAGGGCGCATGTGATTTACTTAGAGCAATGACGTTTCTATTTTATAGGCCGCAGGTCGAAGCCGGCAGAGTCGGAGGATTCGTTTCCGGTATGTTATTGGCATTTACCGAGGGAATATGTTGGGCCATTTGGTTCAACTTTGAAAATCTGGCTGGGAGAATCAAATACCTTTGGATGAAAGCCCATTGAGGAATGCAAATGGTATTTGGTAAAAATATTTTGTAAAGCTACTTTGGCCAAAATATAGTGTTTGATGAATTTTTTTGCAAATGGACTTTGAGAATTATCTTATTTATTAAAAAAAAACTAACCTACCCATCGCTGGGCCGGCCGTCGCGATGGCCTACGGCCGCCGGCGAGATAGATCTGCGCAGACGGCCGTCGCCCAGGTGGGCGACTCCGGCGAGCGGATCTGCGCGCCGCCGGCGATCGCTGAGGCCGGGCGACCTCGGCGAGGTCGCACGACCCAGAGGGCCACCGGGTCGCGCGACCTCGAGGCGGCCGTCGCCGGTCGCGCGACCTCAAGCGGCGGCCGTCGCCGGGTCGTGCGACCAAAGGTTTAGAGGGGTCGAATTGGCACCAAAAGACCTCCGGCGGCCGGCTGGGTTGTGCGACCTCGCGGCGCGAAAAAGTTTAGGACTTTTTTGACACTTCGCCGCGATCCAAGTGGCCCGCGCCCTCCTCGCCGAAGATGAATGATTCACGCTTCGCATTAGAGCAATGACGGTTTCTATTTTATAGGCCGCAGGTCGAAGCCGGCAGAGTCGGAGGATTCGTTTCCGGTATGTTATTGGCATTTCCCTGAGGTAATATGTTGACTCAATATTGCACTCTCTATCGAATCGACCATTCTTTTTCGGCCCTCCTTTTCTCTTCGAACAGAAAAGCTTGGGGACACCCAAGACTCGGAGGGGATTCATTTGGAATATCCTCCTGCTCATGCTTCGCCCCCGCGGCACGACGAAATCGATATTCAAGACTATTCTCCACCCCATGCTTCGCATCCGGCGTTCGACACTCAAGACTCGGAGGGGATTCATTTGGATTATGCTCCTGCCCACGTTGCGCCTTCACAACACAACTAAGTGTTCGAAGGTGGTGAGATTGAGTTGAATACAAGAGTGTGTACTGAAATAGGGAAGGAGTACTAGTTCTGTGGGAGTGACGATTTCGTTGTGTAATAAGTTCAATGATCTAATAAAAGAGTGATTTGCACGTTTGTGACCCATCGATCGGAAGAGTAGTCGAAGGAAACTTTTTCGTTGGATCAATCCAACTATATTTTGGTCTCCTAACTTTGCTAAATTAGCCCACGAGCCCCTCATTAGACCGATAAGACTTACTTCAGATCAACCATGACTTTTTTTTTATGACGATGGATTATCAGAAGATAAAACATAGGTCCGAAAACCGAACCGGTCCTTTGGGCTCAATGATCTCAAGCCTAGCCATTCCGTATTTTCGGAGTTTTATTTTTTTGTACTCCTAGAGTGCAAAAGTCTCAAGACCGAGTGACGATAATAGTAGTGCCATGGTGATGCCGCTAAGTAGCAAGTAGGGGTGATCGGTTCTCGGGTTGGGCCGGTTCCACTCTACAATTGGGAACTGGACCGGTAAATTCAGGAATTGGATTAGACCGGACTGTCCGGTCTTGGTCCGATTCCCTAGTTGAATCGGTTTGGTTTAGGGTTTTGGCAATTTCCTTTTCTTTACTTTTTAAAAGAAAAACATGTCGGTCCAGTCCGATCTGGATGATTCGGTTCCATACCTGGAACTGCAAACTAGATCGATTATTTCCAGATTATAAAATTTGGAATAGCAGCAAGGTTGGTTAGTATTTGCTCAATCACCTTTTTTTTTCCATTATTTCTTAATATTTTAGTCAAATCCGGGTGATTTAAATAGTATCTTGTTCTTGAGGCAGGACGCACCATCTGGCTTTTTATGCGGACAAATGCAGATTTTATTTTGTCCAAAGCAGGTCACTAAATGTCAGATAGGATAAATTGGCCTTATATTCGAGCTACCAAGGGTGCGAATGACATTATTTCTCTTCTCCGATCCTATTTTTGGCTAGAAATTAAAAAATCTATTTCTCTTTCCTGAATGAGTTTCTGAACAAAAAGTAGCATTTGATAAGGACACAAATTTTCTGTTCTCAAAATAGAAATTCATTTGATAACGACACAAAATTTCTATTTTCGCCGGCCGAAAAGCTGCGGCGGCAGACGACGGGCGAGTGGCGGCGGCGGTGGACAGCCGACGGCCAACGACGAGTGGGCAGCAAGGGTGAGCAATAAAAAAAGAGTTGTATTTCTGTTTCTGTTCTAGAAATAAAAAAGGTAAAAAAATCTAACTTATAATTTCTGTTCCAAATCTATTTTTGGGCCAAAATTTGTTCTAGAAATAAAAAAATGAAATTATTTTATCGAACAGATTTCTATTCCAAACCTGTTCCTGAAAAAAAAAAAACAAAATGATTATCATTCGCGCCCCAATCGTGCCCCTGTTCCAAGAAGCTCCCCAGACATCAGGAAGTCAATTTTAGCTTTCGGAAAAATGCTATGTATAGGTATTGGAATCAAAGCTGCTATAACACCAACTATTGGAGGTTAAAGCTGCTGATAACTCTAGAATAAGATTTAAAAAGATAAAATTAGATGAGAGCTAATTTCGTTGGTTCTCGTATTGAGATTTGCATACCGTAGTCATGAACCTACATATCCTTCAAAAAAGCACTTTAAGACTTTTTATTTGAGGAGAACCAGTTTGGTTTCCGGCTACGGGAACCTCCTAGGACTAGTTTGGTTTCCGATTTCAAGGTCAGAGCTGCTGATTCTACTCAGGAACCAGTTTGCAGGTTGATCATGCTCTAAACTGGCTTTAAATCTTCTCTTAGAAAGTTTTATCTTTTTTGCACTCATCGAGAAATTGAATCATGGTCTACAACATTAATAAACAAGAACGTGACCAACATGTGTTTCTGTAGCAAACGACCATGTTCTCTAATATGAACAAAAATAACAACTTGACAAAAATGTAATCGTGTAGCAAAATCGTACGACTTTCATATTTTATCATACGAGTGAGATTTTTCGAGCAAAATAAAAAAATGGGCAGGCTTTGTTCTTGATTCTGATAGTTTGAAATTGGGCGTTGCAACTGAGAATTGGGCCACCTATCGATCACCTCTACTTGCACTGAAGATGGCCTTAAACTTAAAACTCGAGTGGCTATGACCGATGCAAGCTCCAAACAGCGACGTGATTCAACAGACCCAATGAGTAATTGACCCGCACCCTACTGAGTGTGATGTTTTTTCAAGAGTACATCCAGTGGGGGCAATTGAACCACCATTGGTCTGAGCTCCAATTTGCCGGCCATTGCCACGAGCCAAGAAGTTGAGCAACCGTGACGGGCGCGAGATCGAGTGATCCTAATGATTACTAGAGCGAATGAGAATACTTTTTTTATTTTATTTTTCTAAATTTTATATTGTCGGATGCAATGTCCATATGGGGCCGTACACGAAGCTTATAATCTCGATGTCTAACTCAATAATTCGATCGTCAATCTTAGAAAAAATTGATTGATGTGATGAAAGATACAATGGACACATTAACGCAGAACATTTCAGAAATATAGAGGGATGTTTTGGAAAAAATTCAAACAGCCTATAGATTACCACGCCGTCATTCGTACCACAAAATCCCTCGGCTTCCCCAGTCCCAGCGATACATTTGATTTTGTCGCGTAATCGAAGTCAAGATGTTCATAAAGAAGGTCTTTCTCCTAACTGGGTAAGAAATCCAGGTTTAAATTCCGCTACAGTGATCTCCAGGCTCCACAAAAACCAAAATAATTTCCCTGTCGCGTTTCCTGCAGAACCCAAGAGGCACGCACAACACAGAGTGAGGGAGAGAGAGCGAGCGAGCGAGCGAGCGAGAGAGAGGGAGGGAGTGCTCCCAATTCGTGCATACCCTTTTCGTCGCTTGTCTCGCTCGAGCTCTCTCTCTTCCTCTCTCGGGATTTCCCGAGTATCTTGAAGGCTTTGGAGGCCTGTAAGTGTGTCAAAGCCCTGAACTTTTTTGCTCCGATTGGAGTTGTTTTTCTGCTTCAATTGGGTGCAAGATTTGAGCGGGTGCCGACTTGTTTCGTGTCACCCGCTGACTTCTTGAAGTTGAATGGCTGCGTTCTGCATATGGGTTTGCTCTGCTTCTTTTGGACTTTGAAACCCTAGGGTCGATTGTGTTTTCGATTGGTTCTTTAGCGAAAATGGGGGGGCTTTCTTGGCGCTTTTGCACGTAAATCGATTTGGGTCAACTGTGGCATGATGTCTTTTGTGGGTGGGAATCGTAAAGTTTTGGCCTTTCTTGACCCAGGAGGTTGGCATGAAGGTTTCTTGGCCCTGTGCCTGGGATTGTTTATTTGATGACAGTGATCTTAACCTGATACATCAATGGAACGGAATTCAGTTGCTTTGTCCGGGTTTCTGTTTCATTTTTGACGATATATTGTTAGCTCATTTGATCTTTTTCCTTCTTGCTCATGTCATTTATGAAATTGATTACTTTCGTCTTGTTCCTGTGGTTTTTGTCGAGAGACTGATGAGGGTGTGGAGTATCTACTACTATTAATTGTGGCTCCATTCTCTTGTTTCTCTACAGGTGTATCTATACCTTGAGAAGAATGGGAAGTCACGATGCTGCTAAATTTTCTAGAATCAATGAGGCTGAAGCTTCAGAAAGCACCATTGAGATCAAAATTAAAACCTTGGATTCACAGACTTACTCATTGAGAGTGAATAAGCAGGTAATCACTGTTGACACCTAAATTTTACAGGGAGGTCGCGACAATCACTTGCTATGAGCATACATGAAACAGCCATTTTCCTACTTAGGGGTGCCTTGTCTCAAATATCTTGTCCATTAGAGCGAAGGTCTTTCTCATGGGATAAATTATCACCCTTACCTGTACCATTTTTACTTTTGCAACTCTAAACTGTTTGATTTAGAGATAATGACTTGTTTGGTAGTGGTAACTCTGTGATAAGCATCATTTATATAGAAAATTTGCAGTGTCTTACTTTGTCGTTTGTTGCTTCTTAAAAATTGGCTTATTTATGTATTTCCCTCACGAAGATGTCATAGGTATTTTGGGGAGTCTTTGGTTTGGGCTTTTTTCTCCTTCATGGAGTCATTAATTTTTTGCTCTGTTGTTTTCTCCTCAGGTTTCAGTCCCTGCTTTGAAAGAGCAGGTAGCTTCAGTCACTGGGGTTGTCTCTGAGCAGCAGCGTCTGATATGCCGTGGGAAGGTATTGAAGGACGATCAGCTCCTGTCTGCTTACCGTATCCTTATTAGCATGTGAAGTTTATTTCGCAAGATATGATCTTCTTCTTGTTAGTTTCTTATCATCCTCTTCTCCTCCAGATTTATTGTACTTGAGATGCGATCATGATCCACCATTCTGCATTAGGTTATGTTACCAATTGAATCATATGATTAGCAATATCCTCTCTCTCTCTCTCTCTCTCTCCCAAAAGAAATGCACACACTCACAGACCAGATTGCCCATTCAGATGTCATGGATTTTCTATATATCAGAGGATTTTACTGTAAAAGAAATAAGTGGTTGAGTCACAAGCCACTGAAGAGATTTTTAACCATTAGAAACTTTTTGATATGTTATGAAGTAGAGGGGTAAGCTGGAACTCTCAATTTATTTACTTCTCATATTGGGAGGATTCCAATGCATACTTATACAACAAGCATGTAAGGGTGCTGGTTCAGATTTAGCTGCTTGAACTCTTGGTATGCACTTAATATTTTTATTAGATGTTGAAGATGGTCATACATTGCATCTGGTTGTGAGGCAACCGGTTCCACCATCATCGGAGGGGACGCCCGCTCATGCAGGTTTGAATTTTGTGAAGGTGTTTTGAAGTTTTCTGCTTATATATAACATCAGCCAATCAGGTGCACACAAGTCTATGCTAATATCCACATTAATGTCGGTTAAACAAGTTTGGCCTAGTTAAATTTTTTGCGTATACTCGCACCAGAAATAGTGGCATTTTATTTTGCAAAGCTTCGTATTAGATGCATAATTATCAAGTTTAAGGATGCTGCCTCTCTGAGTGCAGCACACTGCAGCTAACAACCTAACAACCGAAAAGAAGAAAAGCTCAAATTTAGAGTTCAGTATCTTTAATTCAGATTTAATTGCATGTGTCTTCTCTCAATCCATCATTAGACAGCCTTTGGATTGCCAGGGTAATAACTAATCTAAACAAATAAAATCTTTCAAGCAACCCCATCCTTGATAAAAACTTCAATTGCTCACAGATTTGAATCAGCGACTACTTTACTCTATTTATGGTCTTTCTAGGAGATACCAGCTTAGATGCAAATATACATATATTGTGTGATTTTGTACTAGAACATGAATTGGGGAGATCCTTTGAAACGAGAATTAGCATTTGGCATGAATTCTTGTCAATAATGAGTATTTTCCGTTTAATATACATGTCTTTGTGGTGTAATCTACCAGCAAATGGCAGTTAAATGTGTCTCTCTTGTAACAAGATTTTTGGATGTGCAAACACTATGTGAAGATTGATGAGGCACGTAATAATCGCATATGTGGAGTAGAAAACGACTATAAATATCAAATAACCTGTTTCTTTTTCTAGGACCTATTAGATACTAAATTCTGGCCTGGTCACTTACTGATTTGTCGTGCTATTTGGTTCCTTTTCCCCCCTTGATCTTGTTGCCTTACTCTGTTTAGCAATCGATATTGAAAAGATGGGGACACAAAATGGGGGATGGAGTTTTATTTCTTGGTCACCCAGTTCCAAAAACTAGCATGAATCTTGCGTGCAACATTTTTTTTTGCGGAGTGGTTCTAGAAGCTTCTTTCTTGATAGAGATATACCATGCAGCTTAATGCTTTGCACGATCTAATGGACCTAAGCATAGTTTTAAACTTAGGGTGTGGTTGGCATTCTACTAGGATTCTGTGAACTGGATAGCTCTGTCTATCTCTCTATCTATATATATGGTCTGTACCATATATATAGTGTGACCTTGGTCTCCTTTGTAGATCAGATTGTCAACTATCTACTGAGTGATTTATCTTGAAATTGACTTGTCCACTGAACTTTGAAGCTGCACCCTGTGGCCTGGATGGCTCGGTTCTTAGAACACTTCTGACTGCATGTCCACCTTTTAGAGCTAGTTAGTTTGATGGGACAAGTTTAGTGGAAATCCTTTCTATCTTGGTTGTAATCTTTATCTTTTCTTCTTTTTGGCCCACTATGCTTCGATGTTGCTTCCCTCACTTCAATTTTCATGCTGCACCGTAGTGAACTCTCATCTTGATTTACTTCTATTTAGTTGGAAAACTAGGTAATATTTTATGTGTTGGAAACCATTTTCATCTTACTTCTGCTCAAATTCAAAAACCGCTGGAAAGTGTGACTGACTGTCTTTTATCTCCTGTAACGACTGATCCTTCAGCCACAAGCCATAGTCACAGTAGCCATGTAGCTCCAGGTGTCGTGATTGAGACTTTCAATTTGCCTGATCAAGGTGATGGGGTTCCCCCAGAAATCGGTCGGGTGAGAATATGATATTTAAGTGGAAAAGGAGAAGGTTGGTTAGGTGCTTTTGTGTTCATTACGATAACTGTTGTTTGCTTGTCCTGCTGAGCAGATCGTGTCTGCTGTACTCAGTTCTTTTGGAATCACGAATCCGGGGAGCAGCAATGAAGGGGTACATGTCTTTGAACTTTTTTATGTCAACCTCTTTATATGTCGAAATACCTGACTATGGTTTTAAATGTGGGTGGTTGTCTATGGGAATTTATTTATTCACAGAGATCTGAGAGAACATCGGGTGCCAGCAGTACGTTACATTTAGGCCAGGTGCCATCCGAACAGTCTGGCATGAGAGGTCAATCTGGCAGATGGCCTGGTGCTTTTGGACTTCCTACAAATATCTCTATGGGGCAACCTCCAGTGAGTATGGAACTCTTGTTTATTCGAGTTCCTTGTCTCTTACCCTTCTCTTAATAAAACAAAGGGTACAATACTCTTTTCCATGTTCATTTTTGCAGGTTATACCTGATTCCTTGACAACTATGTCCCAGTGTTTAAGTTATATAAAGAGTGAATTTGAAGACATTGGTAAGTTTCTCCTCATGATGATAACGATGGGATATTTTACTGGTTGAATGAAATGATCAGAACTACAGCATTGGCAGGTAGAGGCAGTGGAAACAATGCCCAAATGTCTGCTTCAAATAGACCTGACAATAGAGACCCAAACTCTGCATCACAACCAGGGGCTATACCAGAAGGTCTTCCAACACCTGCATCTTTGGCTGAAATTATGCTCTCAACTAGACAAATGCTAATTGAACAAGTGGCAGAATGTTTACAGGTCATTCTTAGTTAACTTTTCTTTGCAGCATAGTGTACAAGTATTTATGAAGTAAATAGATATTGTTTTCCAACCAAACAAGAAAAGATATTGTTTATTTTTTAAATGGCTTGTTGAAATTGAATACTTTGAATAGATGCTTGCTTAATTGAAGAAAGCCACATTTATTTACCGTGAAAGTGTTTTGTACTCCTTCGTTACCCACAATGAAGTGTTATATCCTTCTATACAAAACACAATGTGATTTATACCAATACGGACGGTTTTCAATATTTATAATTGCAGCTATGTGCGAGTCAACTACAAAATCAGGGGGGTGTTACTGATCCAGTGATGCGGTCAAGCACTCATAATACTGCCATGAGAATGGGGATGCTTTTTCACTATCTTGGTGCTTATATACTGGAACTTGGTCGCACAGCGATGACATTGAGATTAGGTCAAACAGCGGTAAGTTGACTACAATTTCCTTGTTAATCAATTAGATCTTATGATTCTAAATGCTTTTTCTTGTGCAGTCTGAAGCTGTAGTCAATGCTGGACCAGCGATTTACATTTCTCCATCTGGTCCTAATCCTCTAATGGTTCAGGCAATGTCCTACACATCGTATTCAAGTATTATGTTTACTTTCCTGTCGGCTTTCTGTTACTATGAGACAGTCTGATTGAATGTATTCCTCCGGCTCTAGCCTGCACCATTTCAGATGGGAACTGGTTTTGGTAGCATTCCAGTGGGGAGTGTACATGGCGGATCCAGCTTGGGGGGTGGGTTTGGTGCAGGGTTCCTCCCAAGGCGAATTGATATTCAAATTCGAAGAGGTACACTCTCGAGTGTTATTCATAGACTGCTTATTGCATGCTGTATTAGGCATATAATAGTAATTCTAATCGTGTAGTTTGTGCTGTATAACATAATCAGTCATATGTGTCGCTCCCATTTTTTCTTACCCTAAGGTTCCCCAACGGCTGGATCAAATGCTAATGGAGAAGAAAGTGTCAACATTCAGCAACCATCGGTCCCAAGAAGTGCTGGTGCTGCTACTACAGCAGCTGCTGCAAACCCCAGTGGAGAAAATCCTATTAGCCTCTCATCTTCAGGGGCCTCTGAGGCTCCAACTCCATCTTTTACTGGAGAGTCCGGTGTACGGGTAGTGCCTATCAGAACCATGGTTGCAGCAGTCCCAGCTCCCTTCAGTAGACTGTCATCAGATTCTCCCAGTAACTCGGCCGGGATATACTATCCATTGATCGGAAGATTTCAACATGCTGGAAGTGTGGCTGGTGAAAGAGGATCCCATGCTTCATCTGAGCAACATCCAACTCTTGTGGAAACTGTTCAGCAAGCAATACCTGAGTCTTTGCTTCACCAGCAAACCCCTGTAGAACCTGGAAGAGATGGTAATGGAGTGATTTGATTACTCTTGCTAATGACAATATTGATCTATTGCAGTCTGGTAGACCAAGGTTTAAGTAGTGGTAGTTGAATTTCTGTGCAGGGGTTGGATATAATGTTTTAACATATTTAGACAGTTATTCGGGAGTAAATGCTCTTTGCTCTTTAGGTTCAGCAGTTGAATGTTTTCTTGCAAGTTGATATGCTCAGGCATGGGGATCTAATATGTTTGAACACTAAGGTGTTGTTTGGGAAAATGGTGAGGGGCGAAGTGAGTGGTGGAAGGAGAAAATGGATCAAATCTTAAAATTGCAGATCTTTTAAATTTTCTCCCACTTTTTCCCTGTCTCTCATTTCCCCCCTCCCCAAGTTCCCAAACAAAGTGTAAGGCGATGAGAATTTCCTTCTGGCTCTAAGAAGAATCTCTTCTTCCTTCAGGTTCATCTACAACTGATCTAAGAAGGCAGGAACCATCTGTTTCTAGGAGTGTAAATATTAACATTATATCTTCTGGTGGGTCACAAACTAATGGAGAAACTGAGAGACAAGTCCCTGGCAGTGTTGTTCAGTTTCTAAGGAGCCTATTTCCTGGTGGTGACATTCGTGTAGAGGGTTCCAGCATCGATGGGACGGTGATAGGATCTGCCTCTCAGGATGCGGGGACATCAGCTGGTGCCATGAATGCTCCAGAATCAGAAAATAGAGCAAGTGATGATGGAATATTTCTATCGAATTTGCTTCACCAGATCATGCCCTTCATATCTGAACATGCAGTTGCTGGGTCAAATCCAATGAGTGGTGAAGAATCAAACATTACAGCACACAGAACAGCTGAAGGTTCATCCACTGAGCCTGAGGTGAGCATTTTCCACCAGTTGCTTGCTCACATTTTCTTATAGTTGCACATAATGGCGAATTATTACGAAAGGTGCAAGAAACTCTACTATTTCATTTACCCCAGATATTTGTCTACTGGGTGTGATGAAAGACAATTTATATGAGAGCAAGGATGACAGTGAACTTGTGATCATGATGATGTGCTTCGTTATGTTCATTGCAAAAGTACTATCGAAAGGAAAAGGTACTGGAAACAAGTTGTTTTTGCAGGCTGAGAGCTCTGATATGGGGACATCACGTGGGCGGAATGATCTTGACCAGTCTCCTCCCAACACAAAGCGTCAAAAGGTACGAGACTGCTGTTTTCTATTTTGGATATATGTGCATGCATGCAAGGTGCAAACACAGAGAAAAAACACTCAGGAAACACTCAAGAGAGAGAGAGAGAGAGAGAGAGAGAGCCGAATTAAAATAGCCTAATTAGCAGAACGACAAGCTTCGAAACTGATTTGGCTATTTTAATTATGGTCTCTCTCTCTCTCTCCCTCTCTCTCTCTCTCATGGATATGGAGGATCTTATTAATTGAGAAATTTTAGTGCATAAGAAATGTCCAAAGACAGAGAGAGAGAAGCCAATAAATGAAAGAAAAACATCTCAAGGCTATACTGAATTAGAACAAGAAGAATAAAATCGATTCACTAGCGAGGAGAGATTCCCTTAGAGTAAAATGATGCAACACTGAAGGTTTTGTTAATTAGCTGGGTCTTGTCATCCCCGAAACCATGATTTTCAGCATAATTAAAAGAGCTAAAAGGGAGTCAATCAGGGAAAGCTCCTGATGATACGTATACTCAGAATCGACATTGTCATTCTCTGTTATCTGCAAAACACATCGCTAGTGCTCATATTTGTTTTTTAGCATCCGGGAACCAGTGATCCGTGGTCATCTTGTAAGGGTTGCTCCAATTGCCAAACTTGGACATCAACTGACACTAGGAAATAAAATCCATTTTAAGTTGGACATATTGGGTGCATGCTTAGCACCAGAAAGGATTGTTTAGCTCTATCTTTCAGAAGTCTTGAAGGCATTTTTTTTCCTATGCTGTCAGGCTTGTGTCTGAGCAAAACCTTGGTCACAGAAAAAAAGGCACAACCTATTACAGTGTGATTTATCTTTTCTTTTCAAATATGAAGGTAAAAAGCTTTGACATGGTAATAATATTTCTCACAATAAGCTTTGAATTTGCTAAGCCGGAGCCCATTTTGGCGGATTGAGCACTAAGAAAATTGAAATGAGAATGCAGTACTATGCTTTTGAGAAAAATGAAGCTTACCACTTCAATTCTTACGTTATATGCAAGTTATTTTATTGTTATAAAATGACCATATTGACTTTCATGATGCAGAGAGAGTGATTTATGATGATGCGACAGCATAGAGTTTGGATGCGAGAGAACCAGCTATGCAGTTTCTTCATTAGCTTGGTGACGAGATTCACATACTGTCAGTGTAATGCGCCTTGTTCTTTTTCTTCTGCGAGCAGGAAAGCATAGAGATTTCTGGGGAGAGAGACAGCAGCATTTTCTGCTGTATATTCATTTGTCAAACACTTTCCTTTTTTCATATGAATGCTTGCACAATCCCAGAGTGAAAGCGTGATGATAAGGTGAGATGTAACAGTGTCCTAAGAATTCCTTTGGTCTCATGAGATAGCTTGGATTTTCTTGTCTTTTTTCTGTCTCATCGTGTGCTGTCTTTGGGAGCAACTTGATGAAAACCTGTAAAAATATTGTCGGATACATACAGGAACGTGAAAGGGATATTTCTTTTTCTTGTTTGCTATGCTCAAGCCAGTATTTGTAAGCTATGGGACTGAATGAAGATTTTGAACAAACAAGGTACTGGTGAAGTTATTGAGAAAATGAATCGACCGCAAGAAAAGATGATTAGTCCGAAATTGGCATTATCGCTCGGTTTCGATCATCTTCTAAAACTTAGCACACTGCTGCCCAATAGACTGAATGGTTTGAGATTTTTAACATATGTTATGTGGAACCATGTAAGCCGTAAGCCATGACGTGACATTAGACAAACCCTTTCATCTGGGCAGGTAAGAGCATCATCACTTCAATTTTGTATCACTTAAATTTAAACTACAAAGACATCACGCGCCTTATATATGACGAGATTCATTTCGTTTTCTCCTGTCGAGCGTAGATTTCCTTGAGAGAAGCAGTATCTACAGCGGAAGAATTGGTTTCTGCCAAATCGAATTGTTAATGCTGCTTTACTTAATGTTACGAAACATCTGTTCGAATGAGGGACCGAAATCTCCCGAGACAACCTCTGTTTTCGAGCTGGAAAGTAAATATAACAGCAAAGTTTAGGACTGCACCCTAACAGGCAAATGATGCAAAAGTATCACATTTTGGAACAAACTCAGCAGAACGGGCGCATGAAATGTGAAAAGCAATTCTTTCAAGAGGATAGCAAACCTCCTTCATAGATATTGTTACAAGAAAGGATTTTCTAGAACTCCTTCATAGATTTTTTTACCTAGCGTTAATATGATTTCATGTTGATGTTAGTTATTTCCGGAAAAAGGAAAAAGTGCATAAAATATGTTGTTTTTTTCTTTTCTTCTTCTTTTTTTTTTTTTTATGAAAGCACGCCCTTGTTATTATTTTATATAAACTAAAAGAATTTATTTGTCGAAATAAAAATAAATGCCAATTTACTTACTTTTCCCATAATCAATATTCTAACATTAATATAATTCTATGGTTTGCGTCATTTGAGTAAGTATATTTTATACAAACAAGTAAACACTAACAGGTGCATGCATGTGCAATTGTGCATGTGGGGAAAACAAGTTAAATGGGTGTGGATAAAAATAAATGACTAAAAACATAAATCGATTTTAGAAAGAAATCCAGTAAGAGAAGATTAAGGGCGATTCATAGGAAAATAAAAGGAGAAAATATATACGTAGAAACTCCAAGGATAGAAAGACATATTTTAAATATATCAATCAGTTTATAAGATATATTCAGATGATGATAAAGACGAGATAAATGTAATTTAAAATTAAAAATCGAGATAATTATGAAATTAATTGATAAATACCATATTATATCACGAAATTAATTGATAAATACGCATGGAGAGGGCCGGGCGAGGCCGTCCTCGAAAACTACAGGCGAGGGCCGGTGACATTATCAGACACCGATGATGATGCGTCGTCATCCCCCACCCCAGGAATAACTGTACCCACCTTCACAAATCTTAGACGCAACACCTCCCCCATCTTTCTTTTGATGTGATATCTCTTTTCTACCTCCATGCTTCTATCTTCCCCATTTTCTTTACTGTTCTAGGACTTTCAAGTGAGCACTAAAGCTCCTTCATCACCACATCCATGGCGGGTTCCTTTTAGTTGTAGAGCCGTGGGACGGCGAGCTTCTATTACTCTTTTGCCTCTTCGTCGAACAGCTTGCGCTTCCGGAGGCAGTAATCGCCAAGCTCAGTCTGATTTGTGATCTTCTGCTTCGGGGGCAGATTTCAGCTTCCGCTCGCTCGCAGGCCTCCTAGAGAATATTATAGACAGTAATCTGGGAGCCAGGGCCTCCTGGAGAATTTACGACCTCGGCCCCTTCCAGACCACGATCGAGCAAATACTCCGTAGGGATATTTTGGAGTATGCCCAATGAAGGATTTGGGGGTTTATAATTTGTCATTACTCAAACATCGCACGTGATGATGATGCATAAGTGGGATTATACACCCATGAATAATACGATGCCAGATAAGAAAGGAAATTTCTTAAACCATTGACCAATGATTATCACTGGGGGTGAGCATAGTCCTGTCCAGGTTGGGCCAGTCCAGCACCCAACCTTGGGATGAACTCGTACAGTGTTGGTCCTCAATTTTTGGGACCAAAGACCAACCCTGTTGAGCCTGAGACGGAGGATTGGACCGACCCTATGGGTGGGTCCGATTCCAGGGTCAACCCGGGACCAACTGATTATTTTTTTGTTTCATTTTTTATATTTCTTGAAAGTACAAACATACTCTTTCAAAATTTCTATCCATCAACAATGCGACATTGAGCAACCAAACTATGAACATCGATACGTATCAAACATAAATCTAAGATAAGATGACAACAGAAATCTCCATTTGCTAAAAGTAACAAACCATAAAAACCGAACACGTGAAAGTGGGGCCGAGGCGAGCGAACAGAGCAAGGCAAGCGGCACGAGGCGAGGAATAGGAGGGGACCAAAGCGAGGTGACAGGCGAGGAAGAGGAGGGTTTCTATTTTTTTTTTGTCAAATCAAGGCTGGGTTAACCGATTAAGTGAGTTTCTTTTGACTAAAAAAAAATTGGGATTTTACTTTCTAATTCACAATTCTACACGGCAGAACCGCATAAGAAACAAAAAGAACAGAGGCACGGTTGCTAGGGTAGAATTAAAATTAAACAAAAACATATAATATATACAGGGTTGGTTTGGATTGTACCAACCCTAAAGTCCCAAGACCAAGGACCAATCGGCATAGTGCAAAGTCCAAGGGTCATAAGACCAAGGACCGGTCCAGTCCCTTTGGGAACTGGACTAGGACTGGCTAGGTTGGGCTAGCCCAAGGTCGGTCCAGGGTTGACTCTGGACCGATGCTCACTCCTAATTATCACAATGCTTTCCATTGGGATTATATGAGATTACATGGTATCTACAAGATATTCTAAACAAGCCCAAACTAACAGGTCTTTTGTATTGTAAATATGCTTATTATGTAGATACAATACTATTGCAATCGCCAATTAATTACCAGATCTACATGAGTCATCAAGCGAAACCCATTAAAAAAAAGGCTTAACTAAGTAGATCGACCAAGGATTTCTTTAATACGCAGATTCATATTAATTTTCTTTCGAGTTCGAATCTTAGCCACCAAAAAAAAGTGCATAATGACCGGGACATAAGCTGGTCCAAGGGATGACTAACTCTCTTATTCTAAGAATACACAATAAATGCTAACGAGAGAAGCAACCTATACTAAAACTATTGGTTGATTCTCGTGTTCTTCTCCATCCAAACCACCACTCTAACATTAGTTGGCTAATATAACGTTACATGCTCTATGGATTGAGATAATATAGTCTGTTGTGCACTAATCATTTGCTGTAATAATTGTAACATGACCGGTATTGGGTTTCCCATCACCTAATTACAAAACCCACCCTCTCGCTTTCTTCATTGGTAAACAGCTTTCTCTTAATTTTGATTTGATTTCTCTCTCCCTCTCTTAATGAACATGGGATTAATTCCAATAGAGTGTGTCCTGGAGGCAGAACCAAATCATAAGACCATGCATTTATTTGAAACTAAAGAAAATATAAAACAATGATAAAAATTGGTCCAAGAAAGGAGAGATTATTAGGATTACACAAATATGTCCTTCAATTTTTTCTTCAACCCAATAGTGAACTACCGATTACTGACAAATAACTTCTTGAAGTTGATGAAGATCTAAATTAGTTGGAAAGATTAACGCTGTCGAGCTAAAAAGAAAAGGAGTGTTAAAGGTAATTAAGGGAAGGTGCTTTATGGGATGTCCTAATTGAGGCGCTTACCACCGAAACAAAAAAGTGGATTAAGGACAAAATCATAATGCCGGTTAAAGCATTATGATGAATGAAAGATAATTTTTTCTTAGAATGAAGGTGACAAAATACAATGCTCTGAAATATCAATAGAATAATTGAATATGTAGAAAATTGCATTTTTCATCTTCAAAGTTAGTACGTTTACCTAATAACTTTAGTATCCCTCGGATATATATATATATATATATATATATATATATATATAGCATGGCCTCGCTAGTTGCTTATACATTGGCTTGTTTTACATTTGCTACAAGTTGCTACTAGTTGTTTGGCATTGCAAAATGAGGTAATTCGTTCTTTTCCACAGCGGAATCCGCAGTCATAGATGGAGGAGGAGGATATGGTGATGAAGTAGTGGAGCTTCAATGCTCACTGAGTGTAATAGAAATGTAACAAAGAGAGATAGAGATGGGACGCTCGTATACCCACCTCCGTAATTAAAAACGATGGGCGAGAGAGATGGAGAAAGATTGCTTACACTCAGTTCTCAAACCTCTAGGTTTGCTAGAGAGACTACTACACTTCTTCGCTCTCAAAAAAATGATGGGCATCATAGAGCTCTGTTTCGAGAATTTTTCATGATCATTGAAGTTGACACCGAAATTTATCATTCATAAATATTAAAATAAGGGATAAGTGCACTAGAAGTCCTAAAACTTATCACGAAAGTGCAATTAAGTCCTAAAACTTTCAAAAAGTGCAATCAAATCCTAAAACTTATTACGAAAATGTAATTAAGTTATAAACTTTTAAGTTTTAGGATTTCATTGCATTTTTTGAAAGTTTTAGGACTCGATTACATTTTCGTAACAAGTTTTAGGATTTGATTGCACTTTTTGAAAGTTTTAGGATTTAATTGCACTTTCGTAATAAGTTTTAGGACTTCCAATAAACTTATCCCTAAAAATAATCAAGATTTTATCCCCTTTTGAGACCCTTTTTCTAAAAACCATTATAAACAAAGAAGAAATAAGAATGCGGTCTTCTTATTTTTTTTCTTTATAACGGGCATTCTTATCATGACAAATCTAAAGTTTATATTTTTAAAGACGTAATTCAGTTATTACCATTTAGGTAAATTAAGCAAAGCCAAGATAGGAGCATGCCAATGTCACTCACTAAAAAAGAAGAAAGAGGTTGTACATTAATCGACACTTTTACCGTACC